AGGTATGATGCAGTCTTCAATGCTAGTGAATATAATCTAAGAAATCCTCCGTGTTTTCTCTGCCAATGATAGACCTGGAACCAAATAACAAAATATGCATTTACTCAACTCTTAAATTCATTGCAGAACATGCTCAGAAACACGGTACAAAATATCCATTTATTAAATATAAAAAGACAAGAGGTATAGATGCAAATTCTGTTTTGAATTAAGCAATACTGGTTTGCTTGCAAAATTTTATTGGAAAGGTTTCTTGGCTTCTTAGATAACAACGCAATAAGCACTAAAAGCGAAATAATTTATGCAAGATTTGATTCAAAATTTCCTGCTCAGAGCATGAAAATCAATGTGAAATAGAAATTTTCGATTGGTATGAAACGTTAAAAGTAAGATGCCGTGTTTTACCTTCATTAAGTTATACTTTGAAAACAGCTGCAAAGTTTTATCAGAAGCACGTTCTCTTTTGGAGGTACTACTGGACAAAAGATTTCATAAGAAGAAGTGAAATCGAGTCAACTGTGGATCGATTCTGCACAAGATGTAATCAGAACTAAAATAATACACAAAGAGCGCAGACGTACCTCAGCATTATGGCTACAATATATGGAAATAGTTGGAAATTCTTAGGGCTTTCATCTCAGCAGAGTGATTAGGCAAGTGGCATCTGCAATTAAACTATATCAGCAAGATGCTTCCCTTTTTTCTGTACCTTTGCACAATCTGTACGTTAAATATGCAAGTTTATATCTTTAATCAATAAATTATCCAAAGCAAGATAAACCCAAAGAGTACGGAAGCTTTAATTCAGGGCTCCATGTTGCCAGACGAAGTAATAAATACTAGGCAGGTCTCCGACATATCTTATCATCAAATAAGTGTTGATGCATAATTTAAAGACCAACAGTGTTTTAACGAGGGGGAGAGGTATGACCGAGCATCAATGGCTTACATGGCTTCTGGCGATGCCTGCTACTGCTGAAGTCAGTCGGTTAATGCAAGAGAGCACAGATGTAAACTATAGCTCTGGTGAACAAGATAAAGATGTTACTCATGCAAGAAAAAAGAGAGAGAAAAAGAATACTCTAAAAATCTTTACTGTCCTTCAAGAGCACAACCCATTTTTTCAAGACCCACAATTATAAATTAAATATCATAATTGGAGTCAATGGACAAAGGGAAAGACTGTAAGAGAAAAGATTCTTTCTTCAAGAAAGGATAGGTCGCCTTTCGAGTACCAAATCAAAAGAAAAAAACATGATGTAAATTTAACAACAAAATCTGCTGTAAATATATGTGATATGCAGGTGCAAGTCGATCTCCTATCACTCTTTCGCTATGAACTGTGTACGTGTCTTTCGTCCTTTTTTGATTCTTCTTTGATGCTATTGCAACCTAACAAGCCAGTTTTCTCTGATGCCATTTGGTCTAGACTTTCTCATGAAACCCAAGTCGAAAGCCCAGGCAGTGAAAAAGACTGGCAATATGTTTTAGACAGGGGAGCACTTTTGCACAGACTATATTGGCCATCTCCAGGGTCTGCAACCTAGAGAGAAGTAAGTCTCTTATAATGTCATTACGTAGCAAAAAATATGGAAAAGTCATTATTGTATTTGACTGGTATACACAGCACATCTACCAAGCAGATGACGCAGATGAAAAGGTCGTTAAGAAAGACAGCTCCAATGGTATCTTTAACTGAAGAAATGAGGATTTGTCTCAAAAAAGATCTCTACCTATTAAAACATAAAAACAAGCAGATATTTCTTAAAGTTGCTTTCGAAGAGAACATGGTTGCAAGACGCATCATGAAAATGGTGACGCTGATTTACTAAGTGTGCAAAAAAAAAGTTGAGTCTGCTAAATCCAAATCTACCAGAGTTGTTTGAGATGACATAGACCTCCTATATTTTCTTATTTTATACGTTGAATTTGATTGCTTTGACATTTTCATGTACTCGTCATACTATACAATGGAAAAGTAGGACAGAGTATAGACCATCTACGATATATACGTTACCAAGAAAAGCTAGCTCATAAATCGAGAAAAATCGAGCAGAAAAAACCTTCCTCTGACGTCTGCATCTACAAAATATCACAGCTACCGCGTGTTTTTCAAGTACAGTTTTTGCGAGGAAGCAAAGTTGATGCTGAAGAATGGGGTTGGAAGCTGAGAGACAACCACACTGACTCCACTAATGACTAATTTTCCAGCAGCAGCGGACAGCCTTTTAAAGATCATACGCTGTAACTGAAAAAGTGGATGTGACTCAGATGCTCGTGCCGAAAGCACGGATTACTATGTTCAGTTATTTGTGGACACTGTAAATGCTCAAGCTGCGCTGATTTGTCTGATGATGCCTCTAACCAGACAAGCGACAACGACGATGAGTTTTGAACATTGAATTGATGTTTATTACGTTTGTATTCTTTATATTTACAATAGTATTTGAATTCATTAAATAACAATTTAAGATAAAAATTTATAAAGATTTCAAAAATCAAAAGTTCAATCAATTTATACAGGTATAATACGCGTATCCTCCTCAATTTTTTGAAGCGAAAACCATTTTATAAAAAAACATTCCCAAATTTAGTTGTGAAATGGGCAATATTAGCCATAAAAGTCATTTCTAATGCGAATGTTCCTTGATTTTTCTACGTACAAAAAAGGCAATTTTGGAGCTTTTCCAGCGATAGGATTTAATAGGACTTTTAATATGTTGCTTCAGATGATCTTCTGAGGTAAAGAACATTGAATCACATTTTGTTGAAATTTGTGGAGGGTTAAACCTTATAATGACCGGACTAAATGTTGTGGCTGCTGTGCTGTGGGCAGTAAATATAGATACATCTATGAGTTTATTCCAACAGGCAGTATATGTAGAAACGTTATCATGGTTTTCTAGTAACTAACAAAAATTCTATTTTGAGGGCCTCGTAAGTGTACTATTCGTTCGAGGTACTCTTCGATGAGAGCGACCGGAAAAAGTTTCCTGTCCTGTGAAGCTCAAAGTTCTGAATTTACTACGAAATATTTCATTTGTTTTGCAATGTGAAGACATATAATAATGCACTGCGAGTTATTTATTCAGCACTATATATTCAGTGACGTTCTTGTTGAAAATAAAACCGAAAAAATTACTCGTTCTTCGCAGCTGCCAAAATTAAATCCAACATCTTTGTATTAAATGGCCAGAGCTACTTTTTGAGATACGGTGCGTACTGTTTCTCTTTGCTTGTTCTCTGGGAGGACAAGATAATGGATAGAACTCCTTCTTAAAATCTCTCAAAGGATCCCCGAAAATATGATACATCAGCATGGTTAAGTTCGGGCTAAGAGAATGAAGTGTGGTTTTCTTAGAGTGATTACAATGTTTTTATTGTTGCAAACAACTAATTAACGTTGCTTGATATCCCACACGCATTACATAATATGTATGGCCCCTAAAGTTGCGCAGACCATCTCCAAACTACTATCAATCTTGTGGTCTTCTCCTCGAGAATTTTTTGTAAAACTATAGGTATATTGTTAAGTTGAGGGAAATCATAAAATAAATATGGTTTCCAACCAATTTTAAATACGTTAAAAGCCTCAGGACCAGATGATAGGATCTAAAAGGTTTCGCATTCTTTAAATAAATTTAGAGGAGAATTGTTAAATTACTAGATTTCTACATTTAGCCTTGCTCATATGAGATTTTTGCTATAGCCCATTCAGTGTCGTTCAAAGGCTTTCTAGACTGTTCATTTGCCGCTCCATTCTCATTGCCCGCTGTGTGTGTTCCAGATACAAACTTATCATGCTGTATACACCAATTCTAAATTTCACAAAATATAGTAAATGGCTAACTTCAGTCATATTATCTTTTTTCTCTCTCTCACGCACGCTCACATACATGTTTTCGCAAAAAAGAGTTTTGGCATTTCTAAATAATTGATATTGTGGGTAGAGTCAAAAACGCCCTCACCCCCTAACTCTTGATCCATCAAGATCACAACAAAATCTTTGAGTCTATGTAACTGTTGATAAAATATTGTCTGATTTTGTGGGGAGATTAAGTTCAGTGGCATAACACAACTATGGTGGGTCTCTGTCAATTAGCCATTAGTTGTGCCCATGCTTTTGCAGAAGATAGGTTAAATAATTGTACATATTAGTTTAATAGTAAAACAGAGACTTTAGCGTGGTGACAAGTTTGAAACTCGTTTTAAAGATAGAAAATTTTATGGTGAATGATAAAAGCAATAAGTTAATACTTCTTAAAAGAACTGTTTTAAGTAAAGAGCACTAACCCAATAGTTCTATCAAAAATTTTATGAAACTATACGACACGATGCATTTTGGCAGACTAATCTTCAGATGTCAACGTCTGCTAAATACACTGCTCAATAGTTGTAAAATAAATAATGAATATTGAATAAAAATAATCATAACATATCGTTCGTATGGTCTATTGAAAAAAGTATATTGACTTTTACATTAAAAAGTAATTTGGAATTTATAAACGTTACCTTGAGAACTAAACATTTATTTTGAATGCTCGGAGTTTTTTAATTTACTTAGCTACTGTTGGAAATCCACCTATCATATTTACAAAAGGAATTGTCAAATAATTTTTACAAAAAAATAACTATGATATTCTTTCATACTATATTTTTATTGCACTTCATGCATTAAATTCTAAGTAGCAGCATACCTAAATTACATTTAATAAGGAAAACTGTTTTTTTAAAGAAAACACGTTTTGACAGTATGAAAATCTCATCGTTATTGCAGATTGGTTAGTATTAAGAATGGGATCTTTATTTAATTACATTTATTAAATTATTCAATTAAAATGTGATAAAAAGGAGGTCTATAGCCAGTGGTAAATTTGAGCATTTAGATCAGCTTTAATATCATTGATGCGAAGAGCTTCTTTGATTTTAAGAAAAGAATTAGGAATTGGTGTTGATGATTTTAATAGAAAACACTGAAAACATTTTTTTAAAAAATAAAGGTACATGTAACATGCCTAGTGTTGAACAAAATTTGCATTTTAAAACTTCACTGGCTACTTTAATCCTTAACTTGTTTACTAAATGATTGCTTCAGATTTTTAGGCCGTGAATTTCGAACAAAAGAAAATGAGATTTTTTTTTCATCATTTCTATTCCCAATGCATTTAGCAGATGTAAATTTGGTTGTCTAAAACGGCCTTAAATTATTGCATAAACAAATCAAATTCATCTCATGCAACATTAGCTACATAGCCTACGACCTTTTCTTGAACATAAAAAACCGGCTTAAAAATAATATTTGTGTTATAAATTTGTAGATTTAAAGATTGGATTTCAAACATATTTTCCCTCACTGGAGATAAAGTCCTTGGTTTTCTTGGAGTTAAGTGCCTATACGAGTTGCAGGACAAAGATGTCATGAGGTCAGCATGCACGGAGTCAGAGGAGTTTTCTCAAGAAACAAGGATTGATGGAGTTTCTTTTACGCCTGTTGATTCAAACGCATTGTTTGAATTTCTTTGTGAATGTGAACACATAACAGGTCTTTCTTTTAACCATTGCAAGTTTTTTGATTATCACAGCTGTCTTCCAGTAAAGGGTTTCCCAATAAATTCTCCCTCTCCATACAAGAAAAATGCTTTAAGCAATTATTTTTGGAAGCATCTAAGTGTAGCTTTGAAAAGTGAGAATTATAAACTTACTAAGTTGGTAATGAATCGCAGCAATATAGGTGATGAAGGTGCTAAATATCTTAGTGAAACATTGAAAAGTAACAATTGTAAGCTTACTAATTTGTATTTTATAGATAATGATTTAGGTGACAAAGGTGTTAAATATCTTAGTGAAGCATTGAAAAGTGTGAATTGTAAGGTTACTGAAATGTCAATGAGTGGCTGTAATATGCGTGAAGAAGGTGCTAAATATCTTAATGAAGCATTGAAAAGTGAGAATTGTAAACTTACTAAGTTGGTAGGAACTGCCCGGAATATAGACGATGGAGATGCTAAATATCTTAGTGATGCATTGAAAAGTGAGAATTGTAAACTTACTGAATTGTATCTTGACTATAACAATATAGGTGATGAAGGTGCTAAATCGCTTAGTGAAGCATTGAAAAGTGAGAATTGTAAACTTACTAAGTTGGTAACGAGAGTATTCACGATAAGTAATGAAGTTGCTAAATATCTTAGTGAAGCATTAAAAAGTGAGAATTGTAAACTTACTAGGTTGGTAATGAGTGTCAGCAATATAGGTGATGAAGGTGCTAAATATTTTAGTGAAGCATTGAAAAGTGAGAATTGTAAACTTACTAAGTTAGTAATGTGTTGCCTTACTATAGGTGATGAAGGTGTTAGATATCTTAGTGAAGCATTAAAAAGTAAGAATTGTGTGATTACTAATTTGGTAATGAGTTTCAGACACATAGGTGATAAAAGTGCTAAATATCTTAGTGAGGCATTAAAAAATGAGAATTGTAAACTTACTGAATTGTATCTTGATTATAACAAAATAGGTGATGAAGGTGCTGAATATTTCAGTGAAGCTTTGAAAAGTGAGAATTGTAAACTTACTAAGTTGGCAATGATTTGCAGCAATATAGGCGATGAAGGTGCTAAATATCTTGGTGAAGCTTTTAAAAGTACGAGTTGTAATCTTGCTGAAGTGTATATAACGGGTGACAATATAAGTAAGGAAGGTGCTAAATATCTTAGTGAAGTGTTGAAAAGTAGGAAGTGTGAACAGTACTTTGAATCGGATTTGATATGGAACCCATTAATAGATACCTATAAGCATTCCACTTCCTGATTTAAAGTATATTATTTAAACTTTCCTATGTTCTATGAAAAACCTATGCAAAAAATTCATACATTTTGGGACTTTCCTTGCAAATAAACGTTCCTTGATTTAAAAACAACTTTGAATTATGTCTACTTAGCTATATGTTAATTCATTGTTTAGAGTAAAAGTATAGTTTGATTTGTAAACATATATTGTTAATTTATTTGGGTTATTTTTAATATTGTTCAATTATTTAATTGTTTTGTTAACCTTACAACATTTACTGAAAACAGTAAAAACTGTAACAAACAATGATAAACTTCAACGATTTTCTTACAATTTGATTATTTTATAAAATCTAAATAATAAACATGAACAAATGAATGTATTGAGAAAAAAATACTTTCGAATTAAAATTTTTACTAACGACTTTGTGACATAAAAAGTATTAGAAAAGTTGAAAGTTCAAGACAAAACCTCTTTGAAGGTCATCATTTTACTAAAATGTGGTTTTTATACATTTCTACATAAATGTGACTGACAGTGAACTTTTTCTACAAAAGCATTTATCTTTAATATATGTTTATTGCATGTACATATTATATGAAAATCAAAATATTTACAGTGTTTTAGATTTGCCGATATTTTCTCATCTTTTTGAAGTTCAATTTGAAGCTTGGTTATCTCTTTCTGTAGAGGAACAAATCCAATAACTAAAATACATAAAAACAAGGTTTTCTAGTCATGTTTCTAACCACTTTTTACGTCAATTATATCAAAAGGAATCTTTTAGAAGACAATCATCCAAAATCGTGGCCAGAGATTTGTTAGGCGGAAAGCGAATTTTTAATATGAACATAATAGCTCAACATAAGACTTTTAAAAAAGCCATCACAATAGTAAAATAAAGAAAGATTTACTAATAAAGTTTCGTCTTTAACTTAAGACATCTTCAGATTATTTGAGATAAATTATATACATGCGATTTTAAATACGTGCATATATTACAGGGTGTTAAATTACATGTGAGGTGAGTAGGAAGTTTAAATGACAGAATTAAGTGAGAATGGCGGTATATTAAAGAAGGTTAAGGGGGATTGAGTTGCCTTGGGTGTTAAGAGAGGGTTTAAGCTTTGATATAAGAAGGCTTTCGTCAATCATAGGGTCATAATTGTCGGAGGAGGAATTAATTAATTTTGTCATCTAAACTTCCTACTCACCTCACATGTAATTTAACACCCTGTAATATATGCTTGTATTTAAAACCTCATGGATATAATTTATCTCAAATAATCTGAAGATGTCTTAAGTTAAAGACAAAACGTTATTAATAAATCTTTCTTTATTTTACAATCATCTAAGTAATGATAAAGAAAGATTATGTTCGGTACCTCTTGCTCTTCACATTCCACCTTGTAGTTGTCCACGTGCATTCGCAAGTGATCTATTTCTTTTTTTTTTAAATTATATATTTTGTGGTCCATTTCAATTTTCACAGACAGAGCCATCCCTCAAACAACCAAATAGATTAGGAAATAAAAAAAATACTAGTAGCAGAGAATGCAACAAGCAAAAAAATCATAATCGTATAAATATGGCGTACAAGTGTAGATACAAAGAGATAAAATGTAAAATTTCTAGGATGTTATCATAATGATACTCATACATATACATATAGTCACTAGCACGAGATAAGTTCTATATCAATATAGTCATAGATGCAAGTATGTGTCTACAAAAATCTTACACATAAGACATTTCTTACGGTCATGTCAAGAAGATTTCTTTAGCGGCTACTGTCAACATTATTTTAACTGTTCCAAATCCTCTTGTCCAAGTTAAATATGAGGTTGAGCAATTTATGACTTGACGTTGACAGATCAAGCTTTTGATCAGCTAATAACTTGTTTGAAAGGTTAAAGAACGAACCACAAAGAACTTGTGGGCCTTCGTATTATAGGAAATGCATTTTCTATCGAGACGATTTTGCAAAGTATTCTTTAGGAATGTCGTAAATATTTGACGACTTATTTTATCCTCTTAAATGATATGATTATGACACCAAAACATACGAACCATGTGTTTCATTTTCGTAGCACATTTGACGACGCAGCCACATTCATGTCAAAATACTGTGAATAGAAAACTAGCTGTTGCAAGAAACCAAAGTGTATAGTCAGAAACGCATTGCGGGGATATCTTAGAAATTGAGAGCAGGGGCGGATCTAGGATTTTTCATATGTTAGTCAAAAATTTATGACGTCATATGTGGCCTCAAATATGACGTCATAGATGATATCATACATTGTATCTTATGCAGCGATTTATAAAACTTTAGCGATCATAAAAATGCGAAAACTAAGATGAATTCCCTTTAATCAGATGATGACAGACTGTTTCGCCCAATATCAGGGCTCTTCAGCATGCCTAGGATGATGCCCCAAATTTCAAAGCATCATCCGACATGGACAGCCCTTCAAAGAGCCGAAGGCAGCAATGTGGTTATTGCATAGAATTAAATGCATGTCCTTTAAACATAGGTACATCAACAATTTTATCTATAAACTAAAAAAGAATTTAGATGTAGAAAGACAAAATTTAAAAAATTCTCATGATTTCAATTAAATTTAAATCTAGTGTTGCCAACAGAAAATTTATCAATTACGCGTTGCACATCTGGAAGAATTTCCTGACGAATTTTAATTAGAGCAAGACCATTTAACCGTTCCTCAACCATAGTACTCCGCTTATAATCTTTAAGAATTCGCAGCGCTGAAATCGAACGTTCACATTCGCATGAAGTTATGGGAAGGGTTCCTAATATTTGAAGTATGACCTTTATATTTTGAAAACCATCAAAATTTATAGCTTTTAAAGTTGTAGCTACATTACATGGATAAGGACCTTTACGATGTTCCCAGAAGGATTGCCATAATAACAACTCTGCATCTAAACCTAACTGATTGGGTAAATCAGCAACATAAAATTTTGAAACAATCTTAAATTTATGTCCCCAGTCAATCCCATTTTTTATAAGAGAAAACATTTTTGTTGGAACAATACTTAGTCCTTAATAAACATTTACAATTTCCGTGTCAAATCGCGCATCCAAAGACGAGAGAAGATGGTCAATTAAAGGAATCTTATAGATTCGTTTGTAATACTCCGTAATAACCTCTCCAAAGTACTTGATCATTTTATTCTGGCTGGTCTTAGAGATGTAACTTCTATTTTTCCCACAAGATGTTAAGTGATCCCTTAAAACACCATCCCCTGAACGAACTTTAAAATTTAGTGTCTCCACAAAATTTCCAACACCCCAGTAGAATACTGACCAACCTCTGGATGATATTTAGCATCATCACGGTGGCCACGCAAAGGCAAACCTAAACGACCACAAAAAAGAATGCAATCAGCAATAGAAGACAACTTACATTTGTTCTGATCGATTTCCTTTTTAAGATTTCTTTCTAACATGAGCTCTATTGGTTGCGCAGACCCTGACATTTGAGCAAGTAAGGCAAATAAAATTGGATTTGTTTGGGCATGCAACCTCACTTCTCCTTCATCATGGCGTTTAAAGGTAAATGCAGCATCATTCCAGCGTGAAACCGGTTTAGAAAACAAATTTGTAATCTTAGAAGCTTTACCAGGGAAGTGATGACCAAAAAGCACGCATGACAAACAAAATGCACCATCTTTTGATGGGGAGTAGCATAGCCAGTCATATTTTTTTAGCCAGTCATATCTAAAGCTCCGACCACCGGTTTTAGGAAAGGAAAAATTCTCATCAGGCCTGAAAACATTTTTAATCAATTGAAGAACACCAGAAGCATCTAAGCCTTTAACTTTATCCTGGTAAGTTGCAACATCAAAATTATGCACAGAATGATACTTCTTTTCTGGACAAGATTGACTAGCGGAGGACTTAATTGGTTGTTTCAACGTGATATAAGAAGGAACTTGTTTGGCAGAAGAAAAAGTTTCATTGGGCTTTTTTTCAAATAACTTGGATGGTTGTTTTTCTGATGCAGTAAAAAAGTTAGAAATAATTGGAATATTACCAGAAGGAAATTTTGCCACCTTCTTGGAAAATAAGGAAGGCATCTTACGTTTTTTTGCTGACGTTGTGGCTTGTGTAATGTCAGCAGACTTTCACTAGTGTGCACATGAAAAGAAGAGGACAAAATGGTTAGGCTGAAATGATTCTCCAGTTCTTATGTCACCTTCATGGCAGAATAGAATATGAATTTCTTTTCAACCCTAGTAGTATGCAAGCGGAGTTGAATAACACGATTAAATAAAAGTTTGAGCCTGTGTTGTCCACAATCCGGATAATATCAATACATCTTTTCAAAACTGAAGACAGACCAAGATACAGAACTGTTGTGTTTGAACAAACAGCTCTCCTTTACTCTTACTTGAGGTATCTAAGGACTCAACAGAGGATAGGGATTTCATAATTCCCTTCGGTGCTCTGGCAGGTTAGCAGGTAGTAGAGCATGGAAGCTCAAGTGAGGTTAAGATTCTTAAAGTTGGAACCAATCTATCATGCAGGAGACAAAGCACGTTGTTGACTGTTTCCAAGCTTCTGATTTGAAAATACATAAGCTGATGATGAAAGAATTTTGGATTTGGTTCCAAAATGTTCTATATATGACATTATTTGATAAATGTATTATATAATCATGTTATAATCTTATTTAGTTTTATTGAGTAATAAAATAGCTAACTGACAATAAAATCTCGCGTAAATATGATATTTACTTTATGTTTTTATTTTGACAAAATCTACATTCTCTATATGAAATGTGTAATAGTGCTGACAACTAAAAGCAGGGAATGAATATAAGTAATTCAAATAGGATAGTTAATAGTAGAATTATAAAGAATCAAGGAATAATCAACAAGCAGGTTGAACTGAAAATTTGACAAGTTTATCTCACTGTACATTCATAAGGTTGATGAGATTTACACAACACAAGTGACCTGTAATATACAACCAGACGTTTTGCAGGCAACTTATAGCAAGCAGACTTTGTATAGTGCTTTCGTTTTGGAAACACAGCACAATTAAGCAAAAATGCTTAACTTCCCTTGAGATTTATCTCCCTGCCAGCAAACCGTGCGAACGTAAACAAGGCAAGTCATCAATACCGTTTGTATGCATATTTACATTCTTACATATTGTTAGTGAAATATGAGAAAAATTGTACAAATATATATAGTTTACCTCAAAGCTATGCACGATTTTTCCTTTTGATTTCGAACAGCCAAAGGAATATAAGTTTAGTTTCCGCGCAATAATTTCTGCTAATGCTGTTTGACGAGCTACTTATGGCACCCAATAGTTGCTCAAGCGATATCTCATCTTGCTCATTTAGTTGCCTGGCAAGATCAACATAAAAACCTGCCAAAATTTTACTATCATCTGCCGCAAAGGCAGCTTGAACAACACCGTAATCCATATCAGATACAACTGAAACTTTTTTAAACAAAGCGTGATTGCAATTTTGCGATGTAGCGAAAGATAAGACCTTCAAAATAAATGACCCCCCGCTGTGAATCAGTCAAAGTATCAAATAGCGTAAAATAACAAAGTAAAAATACTAGTCGATAGTATAAAATATGA